ACAACAATGGCCTTACGAGAAGCCTCTCTCGAACAAAAAATCACCATACGATATGACAACAAAGTCATACATCGTGAATTCAAAGTCGGTAGCCTAGTATTGAAGATAAATCATAAATGTTCTCGTATGTAGAGGTGGAAATATTGAGACAAAGCCATTGGATTGACTTGACTCGCACAGATCAAATAAAAATCTCCACCATGCTTTATTGTTTCCAAAGGAATGGGAAAAGAGCGAATAACCCAAAAAAGGGGGATAAAATCTAAGTTTAGGGGTTGATTATGCAAAGGGAAGGTATTAGCACCCTAAGAATCTACGGTACTCCGCAGGAACCTCTTTGAAATTTTTTATTTTTGGCTATAAAAGTTGTATACAAAAAATAGATTGTGGGGATGAGAAAAGAAGTATTTTTTACAAGTTTTGCACATGCCGCGGTTGCGAACCTTTAGTGCCTACGTACCACCTTCTGTGCAATAGGGAATAAGGGTACTCGTAGTTCACCTTTAAAAATTTTAAAACACATGTGTGTTGGTTAATTTTAAGAGACGAGACATCATCGTCTTATCCGAGTGGAAGAACATACTTACTACTCACGATTATGAGAAATAAGAATTTGCGTCATCTCAAAGTGGAGGATATGGCTTGGATTTTAAAATCTACAAAGCCTCGCTCAACACCCAAGTGGAAAATATCTCACTTCACTACATATCATAGAAGTATAGTAGTTCGCATCACTAAAAGGACTGACAAGAGTGGCAAAATGATTTGAATGAGATTGAATGACTTTTAGTCTTATCACAAAAAATGTCAAAGTATTATTAAATTGGTTAAAGTTTGATTAAGAAAATATTTTTGAAAATGCATGGACCTAAGTCCAAGTTTATTGTGAAAGCAATTCAAGTTTTAGAAAACAAGAATAGTTTTTAAAAAGAGGGATAAGATTTTTGAAATTAAAGAAGATGGGAGGAGATGAACGGACTATCCTAAAGCATAAGGTAAAAGCTAGGGAAAAGAATCGTCTAATTAACAAGAAGCCAACACTTGATACAATGTGTCAATGTAGAATTCCCATCCTTTGGATTGAAACCAAACAAGAAAAGATAATAAACCTCTTAAGAAAACCAAGCTTCAAATGCATCTAGTCTTATCAAAAATTAGGAAGAGTAACGACTGTATACAGATGAATTCCCAATCACAGACAAAGCATATAATTAGAATAACCTGCACACAAATAAAACAAACAACTCAATGTCTTGGGGTGAACCCTAAGAACTCCAGACAAAATAACAATATAATCCACAATGGTCTCAAGGTAGGTCAAGGTCTCTAATCCTAAATCCAAGAAGTCCACAACTCCAAAATGCCAAGGATGGTAACCAAATAGTCCAAGTAACATTAAAGTTTTTTATTGTTCAAACTGGTTAATAGGTATCTTCAAAAAGAAAATGAAAAGCTCAAGTGAGAAAAACAAAATGACATAAAGATAAATACTCAAGTGAGCAAAGATGAAAATAGCATGAAATGAAAATGCTAAAATAAATGTGCTTAAAGTAAAAAAAAAGAGCATAAAGTAAAAGCATAAAATAAAGTCAGTATTTTAATTTCTTCATTATTTTAATTGTTGTTTTACCTTGTTCATTGTGTTGTTGTTCAGAGATTAGTGCTTCAACATCTCTTAGGACATCTGAGATCTGACTATTAGGATTTTAATGATAATTACATTTCGGTCTCTCGTTATTAGATTAATTTTAAATCAATTGTTTTCCAAGTACGCAAACAAACCCAATCGCACCACCTTGGATAAACAAAGTGATAACATATTACGGTGCTTCTCAATTGGTCTATGGGGGATTTGACATCTTTTATATTATACGCGATAAAGCTGTACACTTATGGACCTATCAAGGGTCTATTGCTTAATGTCCTTATGAAGTTCCCATAATTCCCCTTTGGAATTCTAGTGTTAAGCACTCATTGGGAAGAGAGGGTACTTCGGCTAAGTTCTCGTATTCCATATCCTCTTAGGCGGAAAGCATACTTCATTGAAGTTCCACTAATCATATTTCCTCTTAGGGAATCAAGAATCTTTCAGTGAAGGTCCGACAATCATATTTTCTCTTATGATGACAAGAATCCTTTAGTGAAGTTCCAATGTTAATTAGCCTCGTGGGCGGTAAGAATACTTCATTGAACATCCAATGTTAAATAGCCTCGTAGGTGGAAAGGATACTTCATTAAAAAACTAGCACTCATATTTCCTCTTAGGGAAGCAAGGATCTTTCAGTGAAGGTCCAATATTCAATAACCTTATGGTAGAAAGGATACTTCATTCAAGTTGAATACATCATGCAGAGTTAAACAAAGGTGTACACAAATTCATCAGAAGGTAAACCGCCTAATCAAAAACCCTACTCACGCATGGGAAAAGAGTGTCATCTAATTACTATCAGAAGACCATGTCTTTAAATTAAACAATTGGAAGAGGTGATGCCTCGTCATAATTAACCTAACTAATAACATAACTGAATGCAACATAGAACTAAATCTCTCAAAAATTTAAAGTTCTCCCTGGCCTCCTTACTAATTCTCACACGCTCTTCTAGAATAATACATATAACTCCTCCTCTTCAAGAGGATTCATTTCCTTCTGATGGAGCTCTACTCTTGTCTTCATGTTCTGGATGTTCACCTCCTATGTATATGGTTGCTGACTGTGGGCCACGACCAAAGTGACCCTCTTCAGCCTCATGTTGTCTAGATAGCACCTCCGATAGTCTCCTGATCACCTTGGACAACCCTAAAATGATCTTTCGAAAATGAGTACTTCATACAAATATATACCATAGACAGTGCGACTCATAAGAGATTGAAATTAGGTTGTCCTACCCTTATGGCATCTTATGTTGGTCATCTTTGCACGTTCCTCCACCTGAACACAATTTTCAGGGTGATGTATCCTTTTACTTGTACTTGTTTGCATGGGAATCCAACTAGTGCGCATTAGAAAGATTTGAGGTCGTTCAATTCTAGGCAGAGTCTCTTGAAGTCGTACTAGTAGAGGATGTCTGCAGAACTTACTTAATCAGTTAGTCGTCAGTTAATTTTCCAGTCATCACCCCTAAGAGTTATGACCATGAGGGTCGTTTGCATGGGGATGGATTCTAACAGTGTCCTATCTTGAGATGGTGATCTCAGACTTTAGAGTTTTTATCGCACGCAAATCAAGGCCGATGAGTGAACCTTCTGTAGAAATGACTTGGAATGCATATCTCCTACGAGCGACAATATTCTTTCCACCCCTATCATACTCTTTATCTATAATGTTAAGGGTATGACAATCAATCTATCTTTATCTCATATGCTTGGATCATTGCCTTTATTGAACCTCGAGCTCCCGGAGGGATCTCTCCCTTAAACATATCTCTTTACGTGATAGATGAGACTCTCAATATCATCCTAGATGAGATAAATCATACATAGCATCACACGTATCTGATATGGCCTCATGGTCGCCGCCAAAGTTGTTGCCAACTGAAGTCATTGCTCATTTGTTCACCATATAAGATGGGGGTTAAAGATGCAAACAATGAGTTGGGTGATGATTATGAAAGTGGCTTGGGTCAATTTTACCAAGGTCTCTCAGTGGGCACTAACTATATTTGCTAAAAAAAATACAATTAAGGTAGCCTTATTTGTGAAGAGTTGTCTGAGAGTTTAGGGTATTTGGGTATGTTAAGGGCTAACTCACGTAGGGTTGTGAGAAACTATGTATAGGGGTTTCTCTAGAGATATTGGATCCTCTTTTTCCATCAAGGGGATAAGGTATATATAAGTTTTATTGGGCCTGAGTTGGATGGCCAAAATGACGGTTTCTTTATCTTTTTGGTCAATTGTCTAGAACCTGGGAAGACTTGGCTCTTCCTTCGATAACGGGGGAGCACTTTTCCCTTGTGACTCATTCATATAGGTAGTTAGTGACGGGATACCTCATGAGCCACATATGGTGCGTGAATGAGTCACCTTAGACAAACCAAACCCAATTAGGTGGCCTGCCGCCACATTATTAGATGACTTCTTCCATACTTCAAGCGACTTTTTAACTTATTTTAGACAATTTCTATTATGTAATGGGAGTTCGCTCAGAGTTGAGGCAATTGATTTATATTTATAGCTTTTTTTTCAAAAATTCATTATATAATTAATAAATTTAATTATGTCATTAGAAAAGTATCTTTGATCAGTCAAAAATGAAATAAATTTAGTCATTTATGACACGTCACTAAATTTGAGTTCCTTGAGATAAAAAATCTATGAGAATCAAATATAAAGTGATTTGAAATGATAATCATAAAAGAAAAGAAAAATATTTACTAAAGATTAAAATTAAAATACCCTTGATTTATGGGAAATTTTGCAATATTAAGCTTCTTTTTTTTGTTTATTATTTTAAAATTATTTACATATTTCATGTAAACCATAAAACTTGATACTTCTATAGATTATCTGTATTATTTTATAATATCTTTAATTTATGGGATATAGAATTGAATTTAAATATAAGATTAATCTAATTTAGTAAAACACATGAATAAATTGTGGTTAGTGAAATAACTATGTAAAGTTAAATTTAATGAATAAGACTTAATGAAAAATAATACTGAATATTAAAAATTTATTTAAAAAACAATTAATTTAAAACATAAAACAATTAAAAAAAAACAATTCTATAAAGAGTATTTCATTCCAAGAATTCTTTTTTTTTTCTAGTCAATAAAAAATATTTAAAGAGCAATAAATGTTATTTTAAATTTCACATAAGAGACCATTGCTAAAAAGATAGAGGGAGTACTTTTAGTAGCTTGCAAGTGAGCAACAACAACCGTAGATTTATCCAGTATAAATATCAACGGTTAAAAACAATTCTCCATTCCCCACACTTTTCCTATTAAAACCACAATCAAACCAAACCACTCTTTCATCTTCTAAGCATCAAACCCAAAATGGAAAAACAAAACAAATCCAATTCACAACAACAATGGAGACCCGACCCATTTCACTCCAACAACAACATGAAACAACCCGAAACACCTCGTGACCCAATGGAATTCTTGTCTCGTTCATGGAGTGCTTCCGCCATGGAAGTCTCCAAAGCTCTCTCACCAGCCCAGCTCCCTCCTTCAAACAACAAACTCTCAAACGGTTCTTCAAATGCTGCTATACTCGAGGATTTCGCCGGCGAAATTGATGAGTCTAATGTTACTTTTTCCGGCAACCCTTTCTCTTTTGCTTCCTCGGAAACATCTCAAATGGTTTTAGACCGTATCATGTCACACTCAGTATGTAGTAACATAACATAGTACTATGTTTTTTTTCTCCTGTGTTCTTGTTTTTCATTTGTTTAACATTGTTAGTTGTTTTTGGAATTGTTTTCAGCAAGAGGTATCTCCGAGAACCTCGGGAAGATTATCACATAGCAGTGGACCTTTGAATGGATCTCTAACGGATAGTCCACCAGTTTCACCTTCTGAAATGGATGATTTCAAGGTACTTCAATTTGATATTAAAAACCTTAACAGACAAGTTTGTTTGGTTTTTTGTTTTTCACAAAAGGTTATTTTGGGTACAAAACACGAACACTGATCTTCACTATACAGAGATTCAGCTTTCGCTGTTACCAACACACGAAAATTGGATGACACCCGGAGACAGTAATCAGTAGTAATCTGCTTTTGTTTTTTTCCCATTCTTCTATGCAAACAACCAAACATAACTCCAATTTTAAACAACTTGTTTTTGTTTTTTTATAACTTTTGTAGCCTATAGAGGCTTAGAATTCCAATTTAAAACAAATTGTTTTTGTTTTTTTATAATTTTTGTTTTTAGTTTGTACACAACTATCAATTGAATTGATCTAAGGAAACTATAAATTTTGTTTTAAATTATTAGGCCCCTCTTTGTAAATAAAAAAACTTCTAAATGATTATTGGTCATTAAGCCCTTTAAAATGCATATTTTAGTCATAGACCCTATTTTCTAGTTATAGACTCTGTTTCAATTGCAACTAAATTTACAAGATTAGCCACAACTTTGTTAAAATTGGTTTAACAATACTAACCAAAGTCCAAAACTACCCTTATATACCTTGTTTAGCAATTAAGAAAACTAAAAAATAATTAAAATTTCTTCCCCTTGAATTGCATTTATTGCTAATGAACTGCTTATGGATAAACTTGGTTTTTTTAGTAGTACCAATCCAAAGTTTGTTAGTTTGTTCAGAATCTCAGAACCTAACAACTTTACCTTAACAAAATAGTACAAAAACACCAACAAGTTTAAATTACATTTTTCTTTTTAGTTTTTTTTTAATAAATTTTAAAATTTATGATGACTCATTGTATTGATTCTTCTACGCAGTATAACCGTTCGAGCAACAACCACAACAACAACAACAGCATAATTGCTAGTTTGAATAATCAATACAGAGTTTCCGGCACCGGTGGAGGTGGAGGTGGCGGCGGAAAGACGGTGGGGAGGTGGTTGAAGGAGAGGAAGGAGAAGAAAAAGGAAGAAACGAGGGCCCACAATGCTCAACTTCATGCGGCGGTTTCGGTTGCTGGTGTTGCGGCTGCTGTTGCCGCCATCGCTGCCGCAACAGCTGCCTCGTCGGGAGCCAGGAAAGATGAACATATGGCGAAGACAGACATGGCGGTTGCGTCGGCGGCGACGTTGGTTGCGGCTCAGTGCGTCGAGGCTGCAGAAGCTATGGGGGCTGAACGCGATCATCTTGCCTCGGTGGTTAGCTCCGCCGTGAACGTGAGGTCTGCCGGTGATATCATGACGTTGACGGCAGCTGCGGCAACCGGTATGCGGCGCATTACTTTTTTTCTTTTATTTATTATTTGTTTATTTGTTTTTGACATGCAAATAACTCGTTAAATCTCTTGAGAGAGAGCTTTGCCGCTTATTATGATCATCTTCGCCTCGAGGGTTAGTCTCTGAAGTTGCGCGCAGAGTAAAAAAAAAAGAAACTCATAAAATGGATTTATGTGTAACTTTTAATGTATTGTTTATAGTTGTTGATTAATTTATGGTGTTTGTGGATTGAATCTGTGTAGCTTTGCGTGGGGCGGCTACATTGAAGGCAAGGGCCCTTAAAGAAGTTTGGAATATTGCAGCTGTAATTCCTGTCGAAAAGAATTTGTTAGGTAATGGTAATGGTAATGGAAATGGTAATGGTGGCGGGGGTAGCGGAAGTAATGGCAGCTCTAATAGTAGCTTTAGTGGCGAACTTGCACCAGAAGATAATTTCTTAGGCATTTGCAGTCGAGAATTGCTAGCCCGAGGTTGCGAGCTTCTCAAACGCACACGCACAGGTATCATCAACACTTCTCATTAAAAATGTGTCTGGTGTCTGAGACGTGGTGTCTGATTATCAGTGTCATGTTCGGTGTTTGTTTCTAGTGTTTTATAGTATAGCTGCTAAAATTCTGTTTTATATGTTGTTTATGAATTATGATCTCATTCATAAGTTGATGTTGTATGTTTATTTATGTTTCTTTTTATGATTAAAGGTTGGAAAGTAGTTTGATTTGATAATTGTTTGCAGGTGAACTCCATTGGAAAATTGTGTCAGTTTATATAAACAGAACAAACCAGGTAAATAAATTAATGTATTTTTCTTTTCATTTGAATTATGTAGTGCTACTTTGGATCTTGATCTTGACTATGACCAATTATTTGGCCATCAATTATAAGAATTTCAATGATGAGTTTGAATCTGATAGTGGAAAGAAGTGACTAAAGTGAGGGCTCTTAGTACGATGAGATGATGTTAAAGGATCAACTCGGTTTTGTTTCCTAGATATCTGCAAAATGTATTCACTCTTTAGAACCTCTTTTTGTTTCAGGTTATGCTCAAGATGAAGAGTAGACATGTTGCTGGGACCATCACAAAAAAGAAAAAGAGTGAGTTTTCATTAACTTTTGTCTTTGTCTCCTTCTCTTTAACTGATTTGGAGGTGGGTCTTGTTTCATATAGGGATTTGTGAAAGTTACTCTCTTTATTCTTTAAAGTTTGAATAAAATCAAAAGGATTCTTGCTTAATCAAAACCACCTTCACACTCATTCTTTCATCAGGGTTAGATCCGTAGCGTGCAAGTGTGATTAGGTTTAACCTGACTCGTTGTTTATGAAATTTTTGCAGATGTTGTAGTCGGAGTTATCAAAGATATGCCAGCTTGGTCGGGCCGTCATTTACTAGAAGGTGGTGAGAATCGTCGTTACTTCGGTTTAAAAACGATAATGCGCGGCATTGTTGAGTTTGAGTGCAGAAATCAAAGAGAATATGATGTGTGGACACAAGGTGTTTCAAGGCTTCTATCAATTTCTGCTGAAAGGAACAACAAAAACAGAACATGTTAATTAACTATGAAACAACATGTTATGTTATAGGTCTTTATGTTAACTATGAACATGGTATAAATCTTTTGATCCATTTGTAAAAAGGGTAAATTAAAGTTTTAGTTATTTATTAGTATGCTAGAAGATAGGGGTGAGTCTCTTTAATCTTGTGGTATTAAATTAGTAATATTTTTTTGAATGGGAAAGTAAAGTAATGTGAACTAAAGTGAAAAATGTGAAGCTTAGTTGTTATTTTATGCTTTCATTGATATGGAAAGAAAATGAGTATCTTGGACTTGGTAGTCAAAAGGAAAAAGTGAAAGAGTCACAATTTAGTGTTAGTGTGTGTGATGTAAAAGAAAAAGACAAGCTGAATTTTTTTGTGCTTTTGTTTATATGAGTTTTTTTCATGGGATCCCAAGAAATTGTTAATTTTTTAAGGTTTATGAGGTATAGCAAATCATTGATATGGATTGTTCCACTTTTGCTTTTGGGTAAGGCTTTTGATGATAAATAATATGGTGAGTTTTTTCAGAATTTTTGTAAGAAATATTACTTTTTTTTTCATTTGAAAATTGTTTTAAAGGAATGATAAACTTTAGAGTTGCAATAAAATTATAGTGCAATTGGTATTTCGACAAACTCATCAATCAATCAAAACATATATTGCATTTCCAATGCCCTCAATGAGATGGTATAAGAAACCACCTCAAACTTTGTCTGGTTTTTGTTTTAACAACACCACATGATATAAACAAGACCGATTTGGTTGTTATATGGTTCCTATCATTTGCAAACAAGTGTTATCATGCATATTTAACACTCATCTACCTATACCAAAAACCTTCAAACATCTTTAAATGTCCCTTTGTCGTTATCTTAATACATGTGGTACCTACTTATAAGATTTGAAATTATATAAATAAAGTTAAGCAATACACTCTTTAATACATATATCATAATACACTCTCTTATGTAAAATTCACGTGTTCCACTTAAATTATATCTCATCAATATAATTTGGTTAGACATTTATTATATTCAAAATTTGAAGGTTCTAAAAAAAAATTGAGTGAGAGGTGATGATAATTTTGAAAATAACAACTTGGTCAATATATGTGTATAGAGGTTGAGTTGAATTATAATTGGCCTACCTCATTATTCAATCTATTTAAATTTTGATAGGTTGGACGATGGTCAAAATCAAAATAAACTGACATGATCATACATGAGATGAGTTGAGTTGAATTTGTAAATCGTGTTTTAAATTAGAAAAATTAATATATTTTTTAATTATAATTTTTTTAAAACTCAATTCAATACAATTACACATATTTATAACACTCAAATTAGATCAAATACTTTATATAATGCCTAATAAAAGTTATCTATATGCCATAACACTTTATAATAACATAAAATTGTACGAAACACATCATTTTCATAAAATAAGTATGCTGGAAATAATTAAAAAAATATTTAATATTAAAATTAAGTAAACTCATTTGTGTACTAGTATTAGTGGTGAATAATTTATTGGCAAAATTGTGGTTTATAGTGATATATTAATTTCTGTTACACTTGAAATTTTTGTTAGAAGAAAGTCAACAAAGAATGTCAACTGAAAAGACATTTGCTATTAAAAAGACATTAATGAAGTGTCTTATATTAATGGTGTTTTAAAAGAACATTGATGACGAAGCGTCGACAGAGCACCTATCATGGTATCGACGAAAGGAAACATGGTTTGGAGGAATCTCAGTAACATATCCGTAATATTAGGATCATCTAGAAACATGCCTAAAATTTTGAAAAGGGTCGTCAACATGACCTTCACTGCAACAAACATACCAGTCGACTGAACCATGGGAAGTTAAAGACTTAGTATTTTTACAAGTTTAAAGCCCCTTGTAAACAACATCGACAACGCGTCGAGCAATTAATGTTGGAAATTCACCAAAACCTATGGAGAATTGATATCAATCTTGATGAACAGGATTATATTATCAATACACAATAAGAATGAAAGAAAGAATTAGGGTTTGACGAAATTGGAGAAGAAGATGATGATTTTCTGTAGAGTTTCTCTTTGCCCACAAACTGTGGAAAAATCTTATTCACTTTACAACTGCGAAATCATGTGAATACAAGTTATTACAAAAATATGGGTTACTCCCTCTATTTATAATTGAGCTCGCTTGCTCCCTAAGCCAAAATCCAAAATTACAAAAGACCAAAATATCTAATTCAGTTAACACTGCTAAAATAGGTCTAAGTCAAAATACATGTCGAGGCTACTCCTTCAACATTTTGACACACACTAGGCTAGACTATTGTGACATAATCTTCCTTTTGTCAAGCAACCTGCTTTGACATAAGTGTGTATCCCAAAATTTGCCCTCTTATGTTTCAATCTTAGTAGGCTTATGCTTCATCGTCATACATAAATATGCACAGCATTGGCTCTATTATTATAGGATCAAGGTTTATGTTTGAGTGTGCATTACTCAAAGGAGAAGAGAGTTGGTATTAAAAGAGATAGAAGATTGAGGTCTCATCATCATGAGCGTTCTCTCAAGGCACAATATCTTATCTCTTTAAAGTTTCTCAATGATCATCAAAGGATTAGGGTTTTGAAGGACTGATTACAAGCTTTTATCTTTTTGGCACTGAGTTAGGGTTCTGGTCAAAGCCAACTTATGGTTGACTTTTTAGGAAAAACATGATTCTATAGTCTTATACTTGTTTCAAGGTACTCATATATGCTCTATTTATCATCAAAGTTCATCAGAGGATTCAATTGGATAGAAGAAGAGGAATTGAATGCATTAAGCAGAAGTCAACATAAAAGTCAAACAGTCAAAGGTTGATCAAAGGGGCAGTTTGGTCAAAAGTGAGGCTGAAGTTCAAGAGACAAGTAAGTATGACCATTATATGAGATTAGTCAAGCCAAGTCATGAAAATTAGGTTTACTTGTGAAAGAAGATATCTTGAAGATATTGAAATTTTTTCTAAGTATGGAACTTACATGTTCAAGTGATATACTTTCAAGGTTCATATCTTTTTCATTAATGATCAGAATTGTGAAAACCAATATTCAAAATAAAGAGAATATTTCATACTAAAACTTTTCAGAAGGAATGAAGTTCAAAAAGTACATGGATAGAAAGATGTGAAGTCATGAAGTGAGGACCTCATTCAATTTTGAAGTTTCAACACTTAGTGAAATTTTTGAGTTTTTGATCAGGCTCATCTACATGTTTTCCAAGGAAATTCTCTTTATGGTTCAAGCTTCATATCAAGTTTAAATCTACATGAAAGTTATAGTTTATCTCCTATCTCTCCATTGGTCCAAAGATTTCACAATTTGGCTCAAAAAATCTCAAGATATGAGCATTCCAAATCAAGATCTCCAATATGTGAATTTGACCTTAACTTAGAAATTTTTTCTAAGTCCATGATCAGTTGCAAGAATCCAACTTCCATGGAATTTTCCATTTCTTTCCAAGCATCTTCTCATCTTTCATTCAACATAAAACTTGTTCATCTTTTTATGTTATTTCCATTGATCCAAGGTTTGTTTCATTTGAGCAAAGAATCATCAAGTTATGATCAAGGGAAGTAAGATAAAAAACCACGGGCTCCAATTTTCAAATGTTGCTAATTTTGGTAATTTTTGAATTATAGGTCATCCTTCTTTGTTTTGGTACTATACACCACACGCATACACTCTTGTTTCTTTACTACAAAAGCCTAAACATGTGTAATACTCATGCATGCATGCCTTGAGCAAAAATATCCAAATGAGAAAAGTTGTGAAGTTTGTCAAACTTCCTCCCCATGTTCTCTCATGCCAGATCACTACTCACACATATTTCATGCTTCATTTTCTCATCAAAATGACACAACACCATAGCTTAACAAGCATCAAACACATCACACCACCTCTCTCTTATTTCATTTTCAAATTCCATAGAAAATTTCACACAAACTTTCCAACCACGATTAAGCTTCTAACCTGACCTGAACCCCACTATAAAGCCTCTTTCTCCCTCAAAATCAAGGAGGCTACGCCATTTAAGCAAGAAACCAGAACTGGAACCAACTTTCTCTCAAGAATTCTCATCATCGAAGCAAGCCTTTCTCTATAATTTCCTTTCATTTCTTGCATTATTATGAGTCTTTGAAGATCATAGAAGTGTTGGAGCATCTTTCTTCTTCTTCTTCTTCTCACACAAGAAATAAGGTGCAGTAGACTCATTCCACTAGGTAACTTCTCAAACTCACATCTCTCTCATTTTAGATCCAAATGACGTGCTAAGATCATCATCATGTACATCTGAAGTTCTACAGTGATATAAACATTGGTTTATACTTGAATACTTGAAGATAGCTTAGATCTCAGTTTTGCATCCTTAAAACCGTACTTGATTTTCTATGTGTTTGAGTGTGTTTTAGTGAAAACTAAGGGAGGGTTTGAGTCTTCCATGAAAAAATGCATGAGATAATGTGAGCCTTTTTCATTTTCTGTTGAATTTTGCTTGCTCCAGTGAGAGAGTGGTCGGAGAAGATGACCGGAGTTAGGGCTTCGACGTCTCTGATTTTGTTTGAAGGTTTGACTGAGGCGTGACCTCTTTTGATTGGTCGTGGAGTTTTCTTACTTTCCACCTCCTCTTTCTTTTTCTTTTTAATTTTCGTTTTATTTTTAGTTTTAGTTTTAATTTTATTAAATCAGAAAATATGAAGAAAAAAAGATAATTGATTGAAATCATTTTGGGCTTAGCTTTTCTCCTTTTCACACCCTCCTGATTTTCGGTCCAATGCGCATCAAACTATTTTTAGTTATTTTGCTTTGGCAGTTTCACATCCCTTTCCTTTTTATTGATAATTTTTGGTCATTTTCAATTTTAATTTTATTTCTGATCATCTTTCATTATAAAAAATCAACAAAAAATAGGTTTCTGATTATTTCGCGTCTTTAGAAATTTTTTGGTAATTTTTTTCTTCCATTTATTTTTCAA